TGAGCATAATCCACCCTACATTTCCACGTTGGGCTGTCTGTGTCAGAGCTCCTAACACTCAGCTAAGTTCCTCTGAGGGTCTGCTACCGTCTGGGCATCTCCCATCATCAGCTGGTAAGTTCCTTGAGTTTATCAACTTATTTTAATATTACTAAACAAATATCATTAGCCAAGTAAATCTGCAGGGCCGAAAATTAGTGTACTACCAAGAAAAGTTATTTCATATGACCCAAGCCATTGCCTGCCCTCTATACCACACTGGCACACAAAGTATGCAGAAACACACACATTCATTCTCACTTTTCTAGGCATTTATGTTATCTGGGACATCAAAGATCTATTTAAGTAAAGTAACTGAAAAGAGAATGACAAGACCTATGAAGGAACACAGAAGCAGAGATGTTATCATGTTAAGTAATTCTACTTTTAATTATATTCACCTTTCAAATACTCCTTCAACAAAATAAAGCCATTTTATTAACAGAATATATAAGCCAGCATAATTCTGACAAGAATTCTATATTTAGTCAGGCAAGGCTGTTGCATGCCTTTAATCCCAGCACTTGAGAAGCAGAGGCAGGCAGATCTCTACGAGTTAGAAGCCAGCCTTGTCCACAGAGTGAGTTCCAGAACAGCAAGGGCTGCTACATAGAGAAACCCTGTCTCGAAAAAAATAATAAAATAAAATAAAGAAATATATATATATATATATATATATTTGGTTAGAACTACAAATGTTGCCCCTCCAAATACTCTCCAACTTCACTGATCAACTTGGCTTGGCAAAATAGCACACAAAAATTACATCATTAGTATGGTAACTAAATTAAAAGAAATTTACTTATTCGTATTTTTTAAAAATCCAAAAACTGTTGGTTCTGCATCTCCAAACTATAAAGCTATTATTCATTTGTTAAACTCTTATCTTCTTTTTAAAAGTACACTCCCAAGGCATTTAAAGAAATACATTTTAATAGCATGCTCAATTCAGAAGTGAGCCATACCTCATTAACCAGTATTTACTGAATACCTATTTTATGTGTACTTGGAAAGGGGAGGGCAAAAGGGTGACTAGATGCTCCGGGCCCTCAAAAGAAATGACAAGCCACTAGCAGAAAGCACATCTAAACGACTTCAGTGAGTGAGAGTGACCCAGCATTTAGTAAGAATAAATGAAACTGAACTTATCCTGGTGCCCTTTGACCACACCTACAGACCCTTTCATATACGCACAGCAGGCTTACACACAAACTTCACGGCAATATGGCCTCTGACAACAAAATGCCACGTAAAATAAGTGCCTTCCATTAGGAATGGAAAGCAGGAGGCCTGTGACAGATAAGCAGCCATTACAAAGAATGAATTACATAGTCTCTGTGGCTAGACCTCAACAATCAAACTAAATACGAAGTATAGGCTGGACATATGTTGTGAGACCAGATACCAAACCCTATGACAAGAGATATAAACGACATGTGAAGACAATTAAACACCATGCTAGTCACGCGGACGCTTAAATACGTTGTAAAGGGTTGTTATTGCAGCTCCCTTTGGAAAGAGTCACTGAGAGGACAGCAAGGCAGGACAACAGATATGTAAGCCACCTTGCTTTATCACTTCAGACAGCAGCTGAAAAGTCGACAGAATGTTGGCAGTGTCTGTGTGGTGGGACAGACTTACTACTCTGTAGTCTGCGTCCCTCCCTCCCTTCTTCCCACACCCACCCTCCTTGAATGTAAGAACAGTCACGTCTCCTTCTAGTTCGTATACAAAGGCAATTTCAACCTGTAGCACTTTTCATGCAATTAGTATCATGTGACACAAAAAAATAATAGCCCCATGAATACCACCTGACAGACAAGAATTTTAAATGAAGCCTCCCATCAGCAGATGCTGTTAGCAATGCACCTCCAGAGCTGCAGCAAGGATGGAGAAGCTGTCTGGGAAACATAGACCGAGACAATGCTGCCACCTACAGGCCAAGGCTATGAATGAGAGACGTGCAATCAACTGCGTGATTCCGGCTATGCAGAAGCTCTAACAGTCTTTTGGAGACGATTGGATTGATTGAGAGCGCAATAACAGAACACATCTAAATTCTAATCAGAGCAAAAGTCAAACTCTACAGCATCCTTTCTGACAAGTGTTCTCTCTTAAGTACCTCTATTAGTAGCTAATGAAACTGGCAAAGACCAGTAATACTTATCAGAACGAAAACAGTTGACTACTTACATAAACACGTCTAAGTCCTGCAGGAAGTTACTTATCTAAGGTTCAATCGTCCAAGAGATCTCAATGTGTTCTGAGTTGATTTCTAAGAACCTTAATGAGAACTAGGTTGGCTTCTCTTCAAAGTTTATCACAACACCTTAAACCCCCCATTAAATAGAAACAAAATCTAAATCATATTACCTTCATATTTAAGTGTATGGCATATTTCAATGTAATACAACATGGAAAAATAGTAATAGAATAAAGCATAACCTCCCACCATGAATAGCATGGTCACTGGCTAAACCCAATGGTGACAACGGCAGTGTCTCTCTGGGCTTACCTAACAAGTGTCAGTCAAGTCAACACATGCTCCTACTAGAGACGAGAAAATGTTCACAATGGGGTTCATAACCTTTAGTTTATGCTGTGTGCCATGAAAACAAAAACTTGATAAATTCAGTTATGATAAAATATGTACCTAGTCTATCTTATGGGTCAGAAATTGCGCTAAGAAATTTGAGAGCATTGATTATGCTATTTAATTTTCAACTATAACCTGAAAGGCAAATATCAACACAACACCATTAGCAACTGAGTGTCAATGACCTTCAGTAATTTCCCTGGGTCACAACACAAGTGACAAACACAGTATCAGTCTATCTAACCCAGGAAACCTAACTCTCTATGAGCTCATACACCCTCACATGATTATATTAACCTTAAAGAGAACTGTGAGATACTTTTTATTGTGTATTTTAAAGGTAAAAGCATATTTTGAGGTAATAAAAGCACTTAATTTAGTTCACAGTGCTTCGATTCTTAAATAGTTTTTAAACAATGTCATCTCACTCGGAGAGGTGAGGCTTCAAATCCCTTCCACAACTGAAGCTTGTGTGTGTCAGGCATTTTGTTACAAATGAATGAAGCTGCAGAGGAAGAGGAAGGAGGAACCTACAGCTCTACCCACTTGGGACACCCATGAAGCACATCGATGACCAGCATGGCATCAGGGGACAGCAGTGGCACACAGACCTTGGTGGCAACCCCCAGATCTCTTACTGGCTTTAAAACCTGAACAATAAGAGGAAGACCAACCACATCTGGTACTGGAAACCTAACTAACTACTTAGTACAAGTGAAGTCACGCTTACTGGAGAAGAGTCGTTTACAACCACTAATTTACTAAACCACCAAAACCCCTGACAACCATCTATAACTATCTGTCCTTATATCCACAGATAAGCGGTCTTCACCCCCTCATCAAGAAACTTCTCTTTGCAATAAAGAGACCACTACAGAAAACCACAGCAATCAAAAGGCAATTGTGAACCCAGCCCTATTAGATACATCTACAAAACACTCCCGCACCTAATGTTCAGGAAACACTGCAGAATAGGAGGCAGAAAGATTTTTAAGAGCCAGAGGATCAGGGACTTTGCTGCGAGACTGTGTCTCCTAGAAACATCAGAAGTTACACCCATAAAGTCTTACCAATGTGACCACTCAAATAAGAGCTGAATGATGACACCAAAAGACACCCCAAACTGGATTGGGAAAACCATAAACTTCAACCCTACAAAAGGAACTAAAGACAACAGAGGGAATCTGGGAGTGGGACAGGTCAGCCCTGAAAACACGCACACCGATAACTATACAAACGGAACATGCTATGTTTAGGAGTATATATGTATGCAGTAACAATTGGAGAACAGGCACCATGAATTTAGAGTGGCCAAGGGTATATAGGAGGGTTTGGATGAAGGAAAGGGAAGGGAGAAATGTTGCTAATTATTATCTCGAAACTTTTTAAATTTAGAATTTTAAAACTGAAAAGAGCAAAAAATGTCTACAATTTGAGATGCCAAATTTAAAAGCAAGTCTTTTTTATAAATACATAATTTTCAACACTGGAAATTCCCACGAGCTTCTCCCCAGTGATAACATTTTCTGGTAATTGATATGATATCCCTATCAGGTAAAATGAAATGGTTTTGAGTTTCATTCAGCCATAAATAGGATTGAAATTCAGATACAAGTTACAGCATGAATGAATCTTTAAAAAGACAAAAAAGATCATACACTATGTGACTCCATTTCTAAAAAACATATAATATGGGTCAGTTCATAAAAACAGGAGATACGTTAGCAGTTACCAGGTGCAAGACAAAGGGAAAATGGGGAGCAATAGCTAATAAGCAGAGTTTGATCTGATCAAGAAGATGTTATATAATTAGATATTGGTGATGAATGCATAGCTTTATGGATATAATAAAAAAACAGTATCTTATGTAATTACATCTCAATAAAAGATACACTATGAGATACATGTGTGTGCTTAAAATATAAAACTTATGCAATCATCAAGATTATTTGGCCAAATTTACTAGATCCTATCTTTTCACCATTCTAAGTAAAAAGTTTTTTATAAGAGTATACATTTCTGAGTATTAAAATATTCTTAATCTAGAATTGTTCTAATTCCTAGAGGGACCACAGAAACTCCAACAATGGGCAGGTTTTGCTACCAAGCTTCTTCTATTCCAGGTTACCTGAGTTAGTTCACTGTGGGAATTCTTTAAAGACACAACAGAGCACTATCCAACAGCCCCTCACCACACACAGGCAGCTACTCACTTTGACGACCACACTATAAAACGGTTTGGAGATGATTTCTGCTTTTCAGTGAGTAGCATTTGCTACTCGTAACCAAAGACAATTTGTAAACAAAATACAAGGAATTCCAAAGGATAACAAGGTGAACAGCATGAATGAGAACAAGTACTTACCAATTTGTTTTCCTGCATGTATATTCTTTGTAACTTCAGGCAGCCCTTAGCTATGACAATCATGCCTTCATCTGAGATCTTGTAACACTGGCCAAAGTGAATGTCTTTGAGTTCTCTGCATTTTGAGCCCAGCTGTAAACAAAGACATTTGGCTCAATGCTCAGACAATGACAAGGGCAGCATATTTCTAGTGTCCAGTAGTATAAAGGAGCCATCCCAAAGTTAAATAATGATTTATAAGTTCCTTTGAAAATAACATAAGCTAATAAAGGCGACTAATAACCTACAACAGTATTTCATAAACCATCTACCTTCTAACATACCTGTTTCAACTACATCACAATGCACCCAAAGTACACAGACTTCTTAACAGTACAAGTTCACACTTGTATTTCTCTCAAGTCTTGTTGGTGTAGATGGGGGAGAAACTTAAATATACAAACTGCAGAATAGTCATAAAACTCAGTATTATATGGCCAATAAAAATTGGATATCTGCAAAGTAAAAATAGGAAGCTGCATGTACACTTTTACAACATAGTATGTGTTTAAATGAACATTAACATGTACAAAGAGATTGAAACACATGCCAACATGTAAACAATTAGCTTTGATTAATGACTGCATAGAGATTTATCCCTGTGGCTACCCATACTTTTTATTACTGACCTTTTTTTTTTTTTTAAGAATTTACTTATTATGTATAGCATTCTGCCTGCATGCAACCTGCAGGCCAGAAGAGGGCACCAGATCTCATTACCGTGGTTTCTGGGACTTGAACTCAGGACCTCAGTAAGAGCAGCCAGTGCTCTTAACCACTGAGCCATGTCTCCAGTCCCTTACTACTCACTCTCTAAATTAGCACACAGAGCACTGTTTTATTACAGTACTTTCAAGCAAAATTTGTTTTGGTGGATTCTCCTCCCCTCTCACCTCCCTTTCCCACATCAACCTCCCTCACCCTCCACCCTGTCCCCACCATCTTCCGTCTCCTGTCTGCTCTCATGTCACATGGATCCTCAGAAAAACTGCCCTCTCTCTTAATTTCTCCCATACTCCTCTCCCCAGTCTGTCTGTGTGTGTGTTAAAAAATGAAATTCAGATATGAGACAGAACATGCAGACTTTGTCTATGTCTGGGTCAATTTGCTTTGAAAAAAAAAAAAACTACAGATCCGTGTATTATTCCTGCAAATTCCACAATTTCCTTGTTCTTTAAAGCTACTCAAATTTCCACTGCGTGTCCTATTTTTATTCTCCATTCACCTCCCGGGCATCGGTTTCCTGTCCTTGCTCTAATGAATGAAGCAGCAGTGAACACGAATGCACAAGTATCTCTGCTAGGACACAAAGTCCTGAGTATATGCTCACAAGAGGTATGGCCAGGCCATATGGTAGAACCCTCCACACTGACTTCATAAAGGCTACTCGTTTATATTCCCCTGAGCTATGAACAAGGCTCCTCTTTCCCAACAGCCAAACCATGATTTGTTGTCATCCCTTTTGACTGGGATGTGATGGAATCTCTAAGTTATTTTAATTTGCATTTGCCTGATGGCTAGGGACGATAAACACCTCTGTAAATATTTGTTGGCTACTTGTGTTTCTTCTGAGAGTTGTCTGTTTCATTAGCTCATTTCCTTTCATTTTGCAGGGAATATGTAATTTCTGCAGTTCTTCATGAATTCTGGATACTGGTTCTTGTCTCAAGCACAGCTGGCAAAGATTGTATCCTCTTCTGCAAGATGTCTGTACACTGAAGCTTGTGCAGTCTCGTTTGTTATTTGGGGGCTGTTTCCTGTTCAGTGGAGTTGGGTTCTTGCCCACCCTCTACCTTTAAGGGTATTCCCTGTTTCCCTCTGGCAGCTTCAGGTTTTACACGAAGGTCTTTGGACTGATTTCACAGTGTATGTGGTCTTGACCCTGCATGTGGCAGAGCTCTGAGGTCAGGGTTAGAACACTCCCAGCTGTGTCCTTTCTCCTTAGAAACTGTTTGACTATTGTTCATTCTATATGTTGGATATGAACTTTGAGATCGTGTTTTGTAGTTCGGTAAAGAATGTCATCAGAATTTTGATGGTTATTTATTGAATATGCACAATTTTGACAATGCACCCATCTTCATAATGTTGATACTGCCAGCAGAAGCATGGACGATCCTGCCACTGTCTGGTATCTCCTTTGGTTTCTTTTTCACTGTCTTCACGTTTTCATCGTAGAAGTCTTTCACTCCTTGATAGTTTCCTTCCTGGATACTTATAAAAAAATATCTTCCTAGATTTCTTTCTTGAAGTGTTTGTTATCAGCATATACGAGAGTAACTAACTTTTGTATGTCGATTTTGTATTCTACAACTTTACTGAAAATGTTTACTAGATCTAAGTTTTCTGGTAGAGTCTATAGGGTCCTTTAAGTAGAAAATCATGTTATCTATAGTAAAGATAATTTGACTTCTTTCTCTATTTTTATTCTTCTTCTGTTTATATCTTACAGCCTGGTTATCACATCAATACTATCCAGAAGAGCGGCAAGAGTGGAAATACTTCTCATTAAAGATCTTAGAGAAGACAGTTTTTCACCAATAGAGTTCTTACTATTCCTAATGCCTCCAGGACTTTCATCATGAAGGCAAGCTACACAGTCAAATGCTCTTCTGAGTGCATGGAGATACGTCATTGCAGTCCTTGTTTTTGAAGGCATGAAAATACTGATCAGAGTTATACGTGCAAAGCTCTCTTTAGGACTTTCCTTTTCCCTGGGGAAGGTTTAACCCAGGGGCTGTGTGTACTACACAAACCCTCAACCATGTCCGCAGCAAATGCGGTACACAAGCCCTTTCCCCACCACCCGACCACATCCCCAGCGTTTGTCCTACACAAGCACACTACCCGCTACTCAACCACATCCCTGACCAAAAGAGGCTTTTTTTTTTTAATGGACAAACTCAAGAAGCCATGATTGCTGCTTTATATAATTCTGTGACATAGTTAACTGCACATTTTTCAAAACTACATGAGTGCATATAATCGAAGGTTACCGGAAGAGTAGAAAACAAGAACATGAATTCATTTTCATACCATCATCTGCCTAAGCTTTAGTCTCCCCTTCACATTATAAGCAAGACACATGGTTTTGTGTGTAATATAATTGGAATATAAGTTGAGACATTACTGTTATTGCAAAACCCTGGAAACAGAACTTTCATTATTATTCTTCCATCAAATCCCATTTCATCCATGAAAAGATGCAGTTATATACTAGAACTTATACTTAGAGTAAGTATAATATTTAGAAGTCTAAATTGGCTCACATGTATCTGACAGAAGATAAAATTAGGGCTAGTCAAAGTCTGCCAATTACCACTTTAGCGCTCAGAAAACCTGTCCATTACTTTCCACACAGAGCTTGCTGCGTCCACAATGATGGAAGACTGGTGTTTCTGGCTAGAGTAAATCCCAGGGCTTTGGGTATTTGGCACTAAGAACAGAGGCACACTGTTGATAAATTGGAGATTACATGGAAGTTCACACTTGTACAACTGGAGGAACTTTTAAATCTGTAAATCTGAATGGAAGGGGTTCATCCACATGTCTAAAACAGATGAGCAAAACAGACTTATCACCACACAAGCCAACATCTAATTTCACAAGTCTAGCTATGGAGAAGATCTTCCAGGCTTCCAACAAAATTTGATTCACACAAAGGAATGAGCTAAGATTGCCTCAGACATCTTAACAATGCTAAAGGAAGGCCACACAGCAATGCCATGAAGTCCTGAAAGACGACTTCTAGAAGTCTGCACTCATGACTTGAATTGAGTCTGAAAGTAGAATTAGAGGCTTGGGTTTCATGGGTGTTTTGTTTGTAGACACTCAAGTTCTCAAAAAATTCTCTTCCACGTATTTTTAATAAGCATGGTATTTTTAAAAGGTACTCTACAAAACACAAGACTATGTCAAAGAAGAAGACATAACAACTAGGTAATAGGAAATCGAATTCAACATTAAGATGAAGTGATTAGCGGATTATGCTGAAGACATATTAAGATGGCATTTCTGCAACAAACCTTATACACAAGAAGTCCAGGTTAGAGTCTTCAGAGTGTCCTACTTAAGTTTGAGAAGGCAATTCTGTTCAGTGGCAACACAGAGATACACTAATGAAACAAAGGAAATCTTTGAGTTCCACTAGTGCTGAATATAAAAACTAACTAAAGAAAATAGAAAGACACTAATTCCAATCAAAGCAAAATACTATAGAGAAGAACGTAGTACACAATTATAAAATGTGAATGAACAATACTTATTTAACAAAAAGCACAACAGAAATTCTATCACAGGATGAAAGGCAGGATAAGAGCCAGAGAAAGATGTGTAAGAGGGCTGAATTCTGCGGACGGAAGCAGCTGTCTATCTGAAGTGGATTAAAACTGTAAAAACCAGATAAGCAAGGCAGAGAAAGGCTACCTCCTTCTGGAGGAAGTCCAAGTACCTGCACTCCTGGTGGGTACACTGCCCCCTCTGTAACTAATAAAGGAGACATGCCAATTTCATCTCCACACTCCTTTCCCTTAGGAACAAACTGCTCCCAGGAAGCAAGCACTCTTGACTCCTCTGGCTGGGACTCCTCTGCTGGCCTGTGTCATCCAGCTATGACTAAGTCAGATGGCCAAATGCCAGTCGTGTTAACAAGCCCATTCAGTTTTAACAGATATTCTAAGCAATATCCTCTACTTGGTTTCTGAGTGGTAGATTTGACATATTTTATTGCAGCACTGTTTCTTTGTTTTATTCCCAAACCATTTGGATTCTGGGCGACAAAGGACAGACCTCCCTGTGACCTCAGCAATTAGGGCATCAGAAAGAACACTGACCAAGTTCAATGGTTTACAATGGAATGCCTGGGGCTTTGGTGGAGTCTTACACATCACTGTGTGATGAGGAGTTGGTGAAACCTCAGGCTAAGACAAGGTATTTAAATGGATTGCATGGAATACTAACATTTATGTGATTTTGATGGTTATTTCTACAAGGAAATGATATCATGGCAAGGAAAAGGATCAGTGGAAGACTGCAACACATATTCTCATTATGTCAGTTCAAGCTAGTTATTAGAGGAAAGCATCTCAGGAAGC